AGGTTGGGGGTGGGGGTGGGGTATTTCCTCATGTGCCCATGCAAGTTTGCTTGAAATAAAGATAGTAACAATGGCAATTAAAAAGATACTAGTAATATTTTTGTTAATAGCCATTATTTCTTTTAATTCCCTCTATGCTTTCCTATTTTTCTATGAGAAAAGTTAAAAAGAGGGAAGAAAAAGATAACATGAGAATGATAGGGACAAGGATGGTTTTTATAGGTGAAAAAATGAAAATATTTTTGCTAAAAATTAGGTTTTGGTATAAGAGTATTTAGTGGATGTCCATTAAAAATTCTAAATGTAAGAGAAGGGATGTCCATCAAAAGTCTAATGTGGTAAAGAGAGAAATAAGGAAGGAAAAAAAGGGATATTATGAATTTTTTCGCGAGTTTAAATGTTATATATTTTGATCGTATAAAAAATATTTATAAAGTTAGGTCATTTTATGAGTTAACACAAGTTTCATGGTAACTACGCTTTTGCACTTAATGATGGTGTAGCCCAAGAGACAAGTTTGTGAAGCCTGTTGGCCAAAGCGAACAATAAATGGTATCGGCTTGGAACATGTCAAGGTTGCGGAATGCGGAATACAAACCTAATGTGCTTCAACTTTTTCCTGGACCTGAATATAGCATAAGCTTAGTACATTGAACTTTGACATAAAATGCAATGACATGTAGTGGCAATTGAAGTTTGAGACTGCATTTTCTTCAGTACCAACTTAGATTCTTAACACATTTTCCTTCATTATAGTGATAATTAAGTCTATTCTTGTGCACATTTGATGTAACTTAGAATATCAACAAAACTACTATAAAAATACCAAAAATAGATACTAAAACCTACCATAACAAAGTGAGACTACACAAATGATAGCTTAGATATCAGCAAAAAAAGGCTAGGCCAGTTCTACTACTGATGAATCTACCTCTGAATTTGAGGGAGAAAATAGATAAGGATTGGGAGGCATTTGCAAAGAGTCTAGTTTCCCTTCTAACATTTCAACAACCTTGCTCATCGATGGTCGATTTGATGGACCAGTCTGTATGCACCATAAACTCGCTATCACCATTTTTCTTGCACATTCATTCTCCTCTTCATTCATTATCCCGACTAGTTGAAGCTCTTCGTCTAGTTCAAGTCGTTGATAAAGCCAATGTGGAAAGTAGATTTCACTCGTGCGATCAACTCCAACATCAACATTTTTTCTTCCTCCAACCATCTCTAGGACCATCATTCCATAGCTATAGACATCAGACTTGTGAGAGACACCTCCCAAGTTTCTGCAAACAATTTCTGGAGCAATATAACCGATAGTCCCTCGTGGACCTAACATTGACACAACACTCTCCTGTTTCATGCACATTTTGGCTAGACCAAAGTCGGAAACCTTAGGACAAAAATCTTCATCAAGCAGGATATTATGAGGCTTTATATCAAAATGCAAAATCCGAGTGTTACAACCACGGTGCAAGTACTCTAATCCTCGAGCAATGCCTAATGCAATTTTGTATAATATTGGCCAGCCTAATTGGCGAACTCCGTTAGATCTTTCCTCATAGATAAACTTTTCAAGAGATCCATTTGGCATGAACTCATATACAAGAGCTCTTTTGTGACCCTCAAAACAAAATCCCACAAGGCTCACAATGTTGACATGTGATGTTCTGCTAATACTTGCCACTTCGTTAATGAAATCTTCACCATTGCCTTTTAGTTCATTCAGGACCTTTACTGCCACTTCACTCCCATTACCCAAACTTCCTCTGTACACATTACCAAATCCTCCTTGTCCTAGTTTCCTTCTGAAGCGACCGGTGATTCTTTTGATGTCTGTATAATTGTATCTGTTTGGAGCATATGATCCATAGTTCTTTAAGAATTCTTCAACTTTTTGGTGATCCTCAGCATTAGATTCCCAAAACCTGAGGTATTTGTACCACAACTTTTTTTCTCTGAAGCAAAAGAGTAGTAAAGCCAACAGTCCAACAGTAGATAAACTTGCACCTGTGGGAAAAAAATGAAATCATGCCCCATCAGAGAATTTTTTTTCTCTCAATTCCACATCCATACTTTTTGTGACCGAAAACTATTTAATTCTCTTGTTTTTGTTTCTATATCACTAGAGAAAGGTTTTTGAGCTTATACACAATGATGAGAATTTAAATGTTATGCATGAAAATTCTGTAATAAGAATAACATGGCAGCAATTAAATATATTCTAGTACCTGTGACTAGAATCAGCTCCACCATGTTTCTTCCATTTCTTCCAGTTGTTTCTTTTCTTTGATCAGTACTACTTGTAGGTGTTTTTGCATCTACAGAAGGGAGCAATAATACGAAATATATTATCTATGCGGCATGAAACAAGAAAGGGACTTAAGAAGGATGAACTTGACCTATAAAGTATAGATTGTTTTGGAGATGTCTACCTTTGTGACAAGAAAATTTGTTGGTTTTATCAGTCTGGCATCGACCTCCACCATAATGGCATTCGCCACATTCATCAGACAGTTTCCATTCTACAAGAATTTCGGGACCTAACAGGTTTATCAAATCACCACGACTTGAATGAATTGGCAATCTGATAAGTGAACAGTTGGTGGGAAGATTGTCTGCTCCTATGTATTCATCAACATCTTCGGAAAGCTTGTAGTATATGTTAAAGCCTTCACAGCCATTGTACATATTATACCAGCAAAATGATCGTTCTTCTTCTGCGTAATGTTACGGGCATTATAACTGGTACTGATGCATTTGAAGAAGCTATTAATATTAACCATATGGAAAGACATAAAAAGAGAGTTTGGAAGGGAGAAATTTTTGTTAAAAGCCTGGCACTTGTGTTGCATCAACGTTGTTTGAAGCATCGCGTCCCCAAGCCAAACTGATGAATTATTCATCTCTAAAACATAGTACAATTCTCCTCCAGGAACTAGTTGGATTCTTGGAAATGGTTTAGCATCACAACCAGACATGGACAATATTCCACAGTCAGGTTGTGTGGGAAGAGAGTAAGGAAATGTCAGGTCAGTAAAATTTCCACATGAAAAGGACTTTGGACAAGTTGAATCATTTCTGCCCTTTGCCTGGACTAAGATAAGAAGAAGTGATAGAAGAAAGCTTACAAATGAAGTGATAGCCATATTAAATGTCTCAAGAAGAGGAAGACTATACTATGAACTCATTTGTTCACTACACTTAACATTTAAAAGCAGAGTTGATTTGGAAAATTTGTGAGAAACGTATATCTTGGTGTAAAGACTTGAAGTCTTGCATCAATATTTAGACTTAGTCGTCAAGCCTAGTGAAGAGACAACTATCATTTTTTTTTGTGAGTTTCATATATCAACTATCAATTGTTCCTTTTACCTACTTAAACTATATTTATATCACTCTCTTTGTATTAAAACACACCACAATGCAGAGTTCGCCAAATATTGTTCCTACTTGAGAACAGGCATGTGTAGGCCAATTCAACATCGAAGGTATGTTTTAATACTGAGGGAGTGATAGTTGAGGTATGAAAGTCGCGAAAAGGTGATAAGATTTACCGGTATAGAAGTCTATTCTAACATTATTAGGAGTGGAAAAGTTTCAGAATTATGTATAGATATTTCCAAAGAGTTCTGTCAACATCTAAAGGACTTTTCTCCCTCTACTTATGCATCCTTTTCTCTTTTTTCTCCGTTTGGTCACAATACTTTTCCAAGTAGGACATTATATACAGTTCTATTCTAACATTCTTAGACATAAAATGTTAGAGAGACAAGAATTGAACTTAGATACTAAATTTTCTTCTCTATACACTGAGATTCCACGAATATTTTCCTTCATAGTCTTTATATACAAAATAAGTAGTTCTTGTGCATAATTAATGTCTCATAGAATCTCAAAACCACTAAGAAATAGTTATCTGAGAACACTTTTCATTTGACAGAACCTATATAGTATGCTCTGATGCCAATGTTCAATAAAACAAACAACTAAGAAATGAAGTCACACCCCACTTGTGGGACTATACTCGGTACGTTGTTGTTGTTGTTGTCAGTTCTATTATTTGATGAATCTACCTCTGATCTTGAGGGAGAATATAGATAAGGCTTGGGAGGCATTTGCAAAGAGTCTAGTTTCCCTTCTAACATTTCCACAACCTTGCTCATCGATGGTCGATTTGCGGGATCAGTCTGTATACACCATAAACTCGCTATCACCATCTTTCTTGCACATTCGTTCTCCTCTTTATTCATTATCCCGATTAGTTGAAGTTCTTCGTCTAGTTCAATTCGTCGATAGAGCCAATGTGGAAAGTAGATTTCACTCCTACGATCAACTCCAACATCAACATTTTTTCTTCCTCCAACCATCTCTAGGACCATCATTCCATAGCTATAGACGTCAGACTTGTGAGAGACACCTCCCAAGTTTCTGCAAACAACTTCCGGAGCAATATAGCCTATTGTACCTCGTGGGCCTAGCATTGACACGATACTCTCCTTTTTTATGCATAGTTTGGCAAGACCAAAGTCGGAGATCTTTGGACAAAAATCCTCATCCAGTAGGATATTATGAGGCTTTATATCAAAATGCAAAATTCGAGTGTTACAACCACGGTGCAAGTACTCCAATCCTCGAGCGATGCCTAGTGAGATTTCATATAATATTGGCCAGCCTAATTGGCGAACTCCGTCAGATCTTTCCTCATAGATAAACTTTTCAAGAGATCCATTTGGCATGAATTCATAAATAAGAGCTCTTTTGTGACCCTCAAAACAAAATCCCACAAGTCTCACAATGTTAACATGTGATGTTCTGCTACAACTTGCTACCTCATTAATGAAATCTTCACCACTGCCATTTAGTTCATTCAGGACCTTGACTGCCACTTGACTCCCGTCACGCAAACTTCCTCTGTATACATTACCAAATCCTCCTTGGCCTAGTTTATTTCTGAAGCGACCGGTGATTCTTTTGATGTCTGTATAATTGTATCTGTTTGGAGCGTATGATCCGTAGTTCTTTAAGAATTCTTCAACTCTTTGGTGATCCTGAGCATTAGATTCCCAAAACCTGAGGCACTTGTACCACAAAATCTTTTCTCTGAAGCAGAAGAGCAAAATCACGATTCCAATGCAAGTGAAAACTGCAAATGAACCTGGTTTTGAGGCAACACAACAATTACAACATTTGCAAAACATATATAGTAAAATAATTCTTAGCTTGATCAAGTCTAATTACAGATAAAAGTTAGACATGTACCTATGCCTAGAATCAGTCCCAAATATCTTTTAGCTGCTGCAAGAACAAGAAATGAATGATTTAATAATAGTCACAATAAGAGTAAAAGCAATTTTTACTTCAATTCACATTGAAATATTAAACATCTTGAAATGAATGAACCAATTCAAGCAACTGACAAAGCATCATATATGCATTTACCTTTGGCTTTGGAGCAGAAGAAGTCATTTTTGCTGTCACTTTGGCATTGCCCTTCTCTATGGATACACGTGGAACAATCTTTAGAAACTTCCCAATCCAATGTGAAATTAGAACTCAACAACTCAAACAAATCATGAGGAACTGGTACTGAAGGTGAAATATACTTTAAAGGCAATCGAATAATCGAGCAATTTGCAGGAAGATCATCCTCATCAACTGGAATACTGTAGTTTCTATGATCTATTCTTGGTTTATGATAGTATAAGTTAAATCCATCACAATTCAAGTACTTCTCATAACGTTGAAAATAACCACCTATCTCCTCATTAGTACTACCATTCATACATTTGAACAAAGTGATATTGTCGAATACACCAAATGTAATAGAAGGTGTATCAGGGAAAGATAAATTCCTTTCAAAGGATTTGCAACTTCTATTAGCTAAATAACTTTCAAGAATCGAGTCCGAAAGATCGATACCATTAACCCATAGCCACTTCTTGTAAGCATTGTATGTCACTCCTTCAATCTCAACTTTTGGATATTGAAAAGTGGTGTTACAATCGATCTTGGATAATCCACAATATGGTTTGTTGAATTCTGAAAAAGGATAACTCATGGTACCAAGTCTTCCACAATTGAACTCTTTTGGACAAGATAATTTACTCTCAACTTTAACTAAGTTGAAGATAAGAAGATGAAACATAAAGAACATAGCAGAAAAACAGGCAGCAGCCATTAGTCTAACTCTGAATTTCAACAACATATAGAAATGTTAATTTTCAGCTTTTACCAGTTAATTGCAGTGAGTGGCCGGCAACTCTACAGTGACCAAAGTGATTGTTAACTTTGTGGAGTAAATTGAGGAGGAGGTGACAAAAATGTGTTGAAATTAAAATTGGTGATTAAGTCAAACTTTTTTTTAATTAGTGATTAAGATAATTGGGGTCTAAAATGTAATATTTAGAACTTTTAACCTTTTAAAAATATCCAAAATAAACCCAATTTCTAATTTCAAAATGTTTGAAAAGTTTTCCCCTCTCTTCTTAAATTTCAAAATTTAAAATCTCTTTTAAGATTTCTTTCTCCCTCTTCTTCCTTTTTTCTTTCTATTTCCAGATTTCTTCTTCTTCTTCCATTTACTTGTTCTTCTTTGTTGTTGCTATCATTATCGTTGTCGTTCATTATTTTTTATCACGTTTTTCTTTTTCTCTCGTTGATCCTATTTCACAAACTAATTTGCTTTAATTTTAAATTTTTTGAAGTTGAAGTCATTGAATTGCTTTTTTGTAGAAAATCAAGTAACATCTGAAGTTGTCGCAATAACTGCTGAAGTTGTCGTAGCAACTGCTGAAGTTATTGTAGCAACTGTTGAAGTTTTTTCAGCAACTGCTAAAGTTTGCTCAGCATCTGTTGAAGTTATTGTAGCAACTATTGAAGTTTTTTCAGCAACTGCTAAAGTTGCTGCAACAATTACAATAATTGTTGTAGCAAGTTAGGTAAAAGAGAGAGTGGTAGAGTGGCAAATGAGATGTTGTTGATAACAACGAAGGTAGAGGTGATGGTTGTTGTGGATGCAAAGGTCGAGAAGAAGGAGGTGACAACAATGGTGGTAAAAGAGGAAGAATAAGAGAGTGGTGCAATGGAGGAAGAACTGATGGTTGTGGTAGAGGAGGAAGTGGTGACGACGACGGTTACGATGGAAGAAGGGGAGGGGATGACAGCGGCAGAAGGGTGGAGAGAATGGAGGGTGTGGAATGGGGGAAAATAGGGCTTTTATGTAAATAATAAAACTTGAGTGTTTTAAAATTAATGTCATTAGCACTAATCTTAAAATTGTCACTTCTACTCAATAATTAAAACTTGTGTCACTTTGTTTTCATTTTGAAACTCTTTTGTCACCCTTAATGATACTTATTCAAATTTAAATTTTAAAATAAGTATTCTATATTAGCTCTGAAAATGTAGTTAATATCTCAAAAGGTTATTCAACTTTAGAAATTTATCTAGTAAAGTCATTGAACTTTATTTTGTATCAATAAAATCACTCAACTTAGATCTTTATATCAATAAAATCACTCAACTTAGACATTTATGTCAATAAAATCACTCAACCAAATTTATCATTAAAAAAACAAAATAAATTATTTTTTAATATATGATCACAATTAAAATAATAAATAAATAGCTTAAATTACTACTTTATTACAAAATAAAATATTAATAGATAATTTCATCAGTTTCATTTGATAAATTAATACTGCTTCATTACAATGATACCTACCACTTGATCTGATAGTTTAATCAATTTCAATAATTTATCAATTTCATGTGATAAATTACTACTGCTTCATTTGACGGTATAACAACACTTGATGTGATGGTTTAATCAATTTCTTATTTGTGTGAACGACGCCAGCTTGGAGAATTTTAGGTTCAAGTTTGATAAATTAATCTTTTATTTTTAATTTTATATTATTTTATAATGAAATAGTAATTTTGAGTCATTTATTTAATAGTTTAATCATGAACATAGTATAAAAAACAATTTATTTGTAGTGTAATTTTTTTTAATAATGAATATGAGTGAGTGATTTTATTGATATAAAGAACTAAGCTAAGTGATTTTTTTTATACAAAATAAAATTTAATGACTTTAATAGATGAATTTTTTAAGTTGAGTAACCTTTTGAGATATTAACTCCTGAAAATGAGAAGAAACAAACTAATTAGGATGCCTAGAGGGAGCCAAAATTGACCCAAAATTCCGATAGGACAAATAATTTATGGATGAAACCAAAAGGGTATAGGCGCAAGGGTCCTACTCAACATTTTTAAAATTTGGAAATTTTAAAAATTACACTTAATATATTTTTCATCCACAAAGTTGGAGGCCCTTGCTTTTTGTTTGTTTTTGAACCTTTTTTACTTTAAAGCATATTTTTTTTATTATTGATGTAATGATATTTCTCAAATACTAATTGTAATACTTTTTTTCTTCATTATTGATTATTCATACCTTCTTGAAATAACAATCATAATAATATTTTCTATATATTATAGGTTATTTATTAAAGTTTATTTGTAAAATAATTGAAAGGTTTACTTTTATTTATTTTCTTAGTAATAAAAGTATAAAATTGAATATACATGAGACTACGTCTCGTAGATTCATAAGACTTACTCCCCGTGTCTCGGGGATTACGTCCTCGCTCCGTACTGCATAAAATGTCCTTCCTCAGACCCCTGCCTTTTAAAACACTGATTTTCCTATTCAAAGAAATTAGGTGGAATCCATCGATAGACACCTAAAGTTGGAATGACTTTTACTTAGTCAATCAAATAAGTTTTGTACATTTTAAACATCCGTAACAGGTCTCCGTTGTGTCATCTTGACATTTTTTGTTGACTTGACACATTCTTGGGAGGACCAACTTACAAAATATAAATACCTTTTGGTGCTAGAATCCAACTCCTTTATACCATTGCTAGTGTATTGGGCCATTTTGGATAATGGGTGAATACTTTTCTTGGACTGTGGAACAAACAGGCCCAAATATGCATGTAGGGCCCAAATGTACACCTTTAACAGCCTGTTAAGAGTTAGATGCAATGATAATAGAGCAACTTTCACATATAGCAAACAAAAAAATCATATTTGTATGCTATAACAAAGTTTGCATAATTGCGCTCCATAGCAAACATATATATGTATAATTCGCTATACATATACAATTGAAAGCCATGTCTATTTCGCTATACAAATATACAAAAAGAAGCAATTGTATAATTCGTTGGCTCCTCTTCAGATTTGTATAATTTTGCTGACAGGCCATTTGTATAAATTGTTGTTAGCCTCTCGTTTGTATAAATCGTTGACAAAAATATTTGTATATCAAAAAATGTTTTCTCTTTCGCTTTATACAAACATAAATTATACATTATATTTGTATAATCTGTGTTTGTATAAAACGAGAAAGAGAGAAAGGCAAAAGAGAATTGGGCAGGAGAATATTTGTATTGTATAATTATAAGTGTATAAGACGATTATATATGTATTTGCATGTGTATATACAATTTTCGTTCGCTTTATACAAAACATCAATTATACATTATACAAACATAAATTTTACATTATATGTATAATCTGTGTTTAGATAAAACGAGAAAGAGAGAAAGGCAAAAGAGAATTGGGCAAGGGAATATTTTTATTGTATAATTATAAGTGTATATGACGAATATATATGCATTTTGCATGTGTATATACAATTTTCTCTCGCTTTATACAAACAGAAACACAATTTATACAATTCTGTTGTATAAAGCGAGAGAGGCGAGCACAGAGGGAGCGAGCGAGAAAGGGAGAGTGGTGAGCGAGAATTTAGAGGGAGAGAGGCGACTAGCAAACGTTTGCTACGGGGCGCAATTAAATCAAACCGTAGCTACTCCATTTATTTTAGATTATAAGTTTGTCATTCTGTACAATTATCCCATGATAATATATAACAAAAAATGTCTCATTTTATATGAGTTAGTTTGATTCGGCATGGAATTTAAGAAAGAAGAGAGGATTTTTTAAACTTGTGGTCTAAAATACGTGATAAATATTTGTGTGGCTACAAATCATTTCATTAAGGATAAAATGAACATTTTAAAGTTAAATTGTTACTTAATATAGAAATGTGTTTTTTTTACTGACTAAAAAGAAAAATAAGTCATATAAACTTAGACAAATAGAGTAGTAAATAAGACACATAAGGGCATCTCCAACCCAAATACCAAATTTGGTGTCAGTACTATTTTAGTGTAAATCAACTCCAACCCACTGCACCAAATTTTACACCAAAAAGTAATATTTTTCTCTCTCTTCATTATTATATTATTATTTCTTATTTCATAAAACAAATTCTTTCTAAAACATTCACCATATAATTCATATTATTTTCTTTTATAGTCGTTTGATATAAAATTATTTTATACCATAATTTTTCAATAGTAGAATTAACATAAATTTATTTAAAAAAAAAGTCATATATAGAAAAATTAATTTATAAAAAAAGCTAACTTTTATATCTAAAATTAATATTATAAAAATAATAAAATATACAAGAGATTTTAATTAAAAACATACAATTTATATAATGTTTAATTAAAAATTTTGTATAATGAAATAATATTAAAATATTCAATAAAGTGAATTGGTGTAAAATTTGGCAATGGGTTGGAGCTCCAAAACACCAAATTTTACACCAAATAAGGATTTGGTGTAAAATTTGGTATTGGGTTGGAGATGGTCTAAGTCTTCAATTTGGAAGATCTTTTTCTTCTATTTAAGTTGTAAATAATTACTGAAGATCGTTTTCTCATAGTGCATTGTACAAACATCATACATTGCTAAATAGTGGACTAAAATTTAAGGGTAGAGAAACTTGGTAGATGTCAATTTTGTTATATAAATGTTTCTATATATTGAAGCACTTGAAATCACACAAATCACCAAGTTGAGTAACAACATCAATTGTCTAGGCCAAAGTCATCTCAAGTCGTTTTCAATTAAAAAAAAACCTTATTACATTTTTTCCAACTAAAATCCACTTACCTGTTTTTTTTTCCTCTTTCATTAATGCATTGAAAAGTAAAGGCATAATACATATATTGACCCCTAAACTTGGCTTCAAATTTTAACTTTGATCTTTAACTTTGTAAGTGTACAAATAGGCACTTTAACTATCCAAAACTTAAACAAAAAAACACTCGGATCCTACCTGGTAAAATGCGTGAAATAAACTCAAATTAGGCGCGTCAGATGTAAAAATTCAGGGGGTCAACAGTAAAAAAAGCATTGAAAGGACAATTAAACC